ACCTAAACATGTACGTTGGAGAATGGTAAAAATAAAATAAGTTGTACTAATAAGTACAGTGATGGTACAGCCGTTATAAAGCTATAAGCAGCTGCAGCCGATTGCATCGGGCATATTTTAGAAACGAGTTGGGCGCCAGGCCGGGACGCAATCCTCAGCGGCGATGCCCACCCGCATCGCTCGGAGGATTCCGTTGACACGGAACGGCGATGATATAGAGGGGGAACCGGCCGAGAATCCCGCTTTTCCGGCTTGTCCGGCTCGTCATCCACGCCATCCAGAGGCGACGGCGAATGCGACCGGACGGGGCAGTCGAAGATCCCCAGTCCCGGTCTCGGTCGAAGATCCCCAGCCTCAGTCGAAGATCTTGCGCCGATCCGAGAACATGGCGGCCATTTGCTGAGAGTTGTCGCTGTCGACGTGTGTTCAGGATTCGGTTCTTCCGAAAAACGGAAATCACGTTTCACATCGTTGAATCAGGCGCGATGGTCGTTGGAACTTTTGCGAGGTCTGATAGGCGTGACGGATATTTCTGTCCCCCCTGTTGATCCTGGGACCTGACGCTACGTGAAACGACTGTTATACGCCTCTGTCGGTCGCATATTGTAAATGGCAACGAAAACAGAGACTGGGTTTCTACGTTTAAAAGTCCCTTCAAAGATGAAAAGGGTGGTACGAACTTGCAAAATGTTACGGTCGTCAGTGAAGACAGAGTAGGCCTAGGCCTACCTTGTCTCCAGGGGACCGCCTCTGCCTTTACAATTATGAAGTATCATAACAACATCTCGTATTTTCTTCTGATGAGATAATGCACTTATTTTTCAAATGCAGGGTCCAATGAAGCCTCCGCTATTATGTTTAACGTCTAAACTCCCAGAGGAGTGTGAAGTGACAATGAGGAAAGCATGTCCAATATACAGGAGTTACATATACCATGTCTACGATGGCTCCAATGCCAGAGAGACACGAGGAGGATACTGGATACTTTCTGCTGGAGCATGGAGGAGGATACTGGATGCTTCCATACAGATGAATGAATGATTTATTGTCCGCATCATCTGGTTGTACAGGGCGCAACCGAGAGGTCAGTTGTTTAGTGGACGGGGGGGGGGGGCATCAAACATATAGGAAAGGATGAAAAACAAGTACATAGTAGTAACTTATGCATAGACAATTTATCAAAATAATGCATTTCTCACATGGTAGGACAAAATGCAAAACTGTGCAGCGGGAACGGGAAGAGAAGAACACATTGGAATCCAGGTATTAGCAGAGAGACAACGGCCGCATGCGGAGCATTCAATCACTTCCTCAATCCTCCCATCGTTTTCCTACGTGGTTGTGGGCGGTGGCGAGCCGGAACCGATCGAAGAAACGGGGTCCTTTGGGTCCATTGCCATTACTGGGCCCATTACGGGGTCCGTTGAATGGGTTGCCACGTACGGGGACGGGATCGACCAGCGAGAAAATGAAAATGCGAGCGCTACTTCTTCGGGTGGGAGAAGTAAAGTTTTGCAGAGGCATCCTGGACCGAACTCTTTTGCTGCATGCAATGCTTTTAAAGGTTGTAATTGAAGGGTTGAAAGCAATATCAAATTGATACGTTTTCATTCAGTCTTTCTGCCAAAAATGAGAAGCGTTGAGGGAATTCTCTGCATCGACCCAGATTGATTCATTGATAATAGTGTTTCATGTTTGTGAGTTCGGGCCTTAATTTCGTTGGATTTAAAATTTCTGCAATTTTACAATTTGATTCTTCGGTCGTAGATGCTTCTCTGATCCATTTGCAAAATCCAATTTCCTTGGAATAATTTCTTCCTGCGTTGTGCGTTTTCGCCACGGTCGTTAGTCTAATGCGCATGTGCCTTTTTTTCCTTTGGTCGATGATGGCAGTTTGCAGGACTTAATTAGAAACTGGACGATGAGCATAGGCGGCGATTCATAGGGGCTCAGGGGCCTCGAGCCCCCCAAAAAATTTGGCAGAAGAATAAGGAATACTTGGAGTACTGCCTTTGAACCTTCCCAAATTTCTCAACAAATCGCTGTCTATGACGATGAGCATGTAATATGTACGTTTACCAATGCTTTTAATAAGGTGGTCGCTCTTTCATTCTGAAGCTTGAGAAACGAATTTTTCACAGACCAGGTTTCTTTTCATCCTTTCCGATTGTTGGGAAGAAGGGGGGGGGGGGGGGGGAAGAAAAAAAAAAAAAAAATGCGGCCTCGATTTGTTGAGAAATTTGGGAAGGTTCAAAGGCAGTACTCCAAGTATTCCTTATTCTTCTGCCAAATTTTTTGGGGGGGGGGGAAGAAATAATGAAGGAAAATGCTGCCTGCGTCCTCCATATTCAAAATGAAAGAAAACTCTGCCTGCGTCCTCCATTTCTTCCATTTTCCTTTTAGTGGATGCGAACAGAATAAGTTTTTGATCCGAAATGAGGAACCGTGAGGAACACACCCGTTACCAGCGAGAAAAGAAAACTCGAGGAGTATGAATAGCCTTTAAAGCCATAAATCACTCCGGCGAATGGATTCCCTGAATATTTCAAACCTTTTGGGGTATGCTTCGCCTTTTCCTCGTGCAGTAAAGAAGAGGCGAATCGACACGATCGACGTTCTCCTGCTCGCTCGATGGATCCACAACCCCAACCCCAACCCCAACCCCAACCCCAACCATAGCCACAACCATGGCTAGAGAGAGAGATTTTGTTTATGACGTCTCTTCCATCAATTTCCAATATTTGCAGTTTTTGCAAGCTGTTTTAAAAAGGAAGTTAAATTTTACTTTTAAAAAGGCAATAAATAACTTTTCCCCATTAATAACGTTAAAAAAATCAATTATATCAATTTCAACTGGGGAGTTGCTGAATTGAATTGAAATCCACAACGAATTTGCACGAAACTTGACGGGCACACTTTGGCAGCTTCTGTTTGCTAAAATTTGCGGGCGGTGCCACTTGGACGGGCGTTTCGCCGTTTTCGGCGAGAGTACTTCAATGTACTGAAAGAGTACTGAAAGAGTACTGAAAGGGTGCAGAGAGGAAGCGCCCGCTCGCCTGTGCGTGGTCCAGCGGATCGATGGAGGCCCAGCGGAATGCAAATAATTCACAGAACGCTAATAATTCCGAGGATAAAGGAAACGTGTCATTAAGGTCTCGCTGAGGAATTAATTAATCAGCGGCCAAGAAAGACCTTGGGGAGTGAAAGACCTTGGGGAATAAAGGTCCATCCTGGTTTCTCGTTTTCTGCGCTGAAAATTGCACAAAATTGCAACGCTACTCATCGACGAAACCTTTGACCTTTGGATGAAACAGTAAAAATCGGAGGAAAGGTCAAAGGACCCCGAATCGATCGATCAATTTCCGATGGATTGATTGATTTTTGCGAGGTCTTCGTTTTTCTTCCTGAAACGAGTTGAGTCCGCGCTCAGATCTCAGAAAAGTTTGCCGGAAAATGGCGACTCGCGCAGTTTATGGTCCTCTCGAGTACTGTCCAGTACTTGCCTTTGAATCTGCAACCAACACGAATTTTCACGTAAAAAATATTTCTTCGTATTTTTCAAAAGGAGCTGGAGTTTTAATTTTGCGCTTCCATCTGGACGATTACAATTCGTCATTTATTAATTTTAAAGTATCATTTATTAATTATTATTTATTTATTTATTTTTTTCCTCTGCACTGCAGAATCCGCCGGACAGGTCTCTGGCGTCTGGCAATTTGCAGACGGGACGCTGTTTTCTTCAGTTTTAGCAAGTTTCTGGTCTTATCTGGACATTTTGGCAAAATTATTGACCGTTCTCTCCCTCCGATACGTTTCATCGCGCGAAAACGAAAGAAGAGTTGCCATACGAGGTTAAATGGCCGGAAAAAAAAGAGTAACAATTACAGGACGTTTGAAGACTACAGAGAATTCTTTGAAATAAAAAACTTGCCATCTCACGAACTCTCGTCTCCTACAGGTTTGGAGGGTAAACACCGTTAAGGTCAACAGCAGGGAAATTTCCAAATAGCGATGTTCTATAAATCGTGACTGCCGCTGGGCAAGCTGAATCCGCCATTCAAATTTCTGGAATGAACTTCGCGATGCGGAATGAAGTTGTCGCTGTTTCGCAGATGGGCCGGAAGCCCGAACTCTGAATCTCATGATCTTAAATGCGAGGAGAGCGACTGGTCTGCACGGGGTCGAGTTTGGAACGAGACCAAGGCCAGAAGCGGTAGTACTTCTCAGTACGATTGGACGTGGCGACCGGGCCGCCATCTGTTCGCGCTTGGGGGAACTACGCGGTGACTCCTCTCTCTCTCTCTCGAGTTTTTTCTTTCATGAGGCATTTGGCATTTCCGACTTGGTCGGGCGGAATCTCAAAGGTCGCTGATTAATGACGTTTACTTTAAGGCGGTGATGGAAACCACAGGAAGGGCACCTGAAAAAGAATTATGAGTGGTCATTATTAAACATGTTGGGCATATTTCAATTGTAAAATTGAATTTAAATTATAATTTTTTTTGGCAGTTTTTATATGCCTCGTGTCTTTTTTCCCTAAAGTTTATCATTATTTAAAACATACTTTTGAAAACCACTCGCCAACTAACTGTTGTAGGGTGAATCTGTCTTACTAAAGCAAAATCCAATTGAATAAGAGTTTTCCTTTAAAAAAAAAAATAAAACCAACCTCCCTTCCTTGAAAATACATATTTGACATGGGGGAAAAAAGCAACTGCCATCACATGGACTAAATAGGCGAATTCTTGAATTTCAGCTCACTTGCAGTTTGCCATAAGCATGCATACAACAGGTCTTTCAGGGTAATTTCGTGAGCACTAAAGGCAGTGACAATTTTGAAATTCTCTCTATTAGAGGGGATGCAATCAGACGACACTGTTCAATCAAGCGAGACAGTTTACCCTCCCAACAAAAAATGAGGAAGGCAAATGGTCAATGATAACAATCGTCCAGATAACACAGATATGCTCTATTTTTTCCAAAAATAAAGACAGTGGAAGCCCAGAATTTCCAACAGAACATGAAATCAACATGTGTTCATGACAATTTCTCAATTTCCATTGATGAAACAATTTGCAGCACCAGCTCCAATCATTGAAACACACTCTCTGTTCCTTCAACACTCCAATCTGTTCTACTTCCCATATGGAAATGGAGAATCCCCTGATTCGAGATCATCCCAGCACGGTCCCCATCCACGGGCTTCGATTCATCTCGGGTCGAGATGGGAGGGGATGACACAGATGGACAGGCGATGATGAAACTCGGACCCAATCAAATCTTCTGCTCTCCCTTTTCCACCTTACAAGATCGGAAGCCATGTCATTTGCACCAATGTTCTTTTTCTGTCTTGTTAATTTTGGGCCTAATGAACCATCCCCTTTTGGGATGGTTCTTGAACTAGAAATTCATCTTCCCAAGTTATCTTATTGCTCTGAGATGGCAAAGCTACAAGAGAAATCTATTCTTAAGTTTGTGAACAAAGGACTGAAAGTCTATTTCCAAGATGTATTGAACAGGTTGATAACCATTTTGGCATGAGTCCATTTTCCCGAGTTTTTAATGACTGGGCAACATCTATCATCATGTTTTGACAAAATCTTGTTCTTAGACTTTACTCATAGAGCAAAAATGTAGGAACAAGTGAATTAGAAGAAATGCCCTTCCTGGATATTGGACAGTGAAAGACTTAGACTCTCCACAAAGGGTGAACGATTACCTGGAGAGGTTATATGTCCAGGTCATTGTCAGGATCCTCTTCGTCGAAGTCATCTGCATCATCGCATGTATAGAAGATGTGCCCTCCACCTCCCACTCTGATGACAAAGAAATCATAAAAAACATACAAAACTATAACTTCTCAATTGAAAAGGTGGCTAAAAAACTGAAAAAAACTGAGGGATTTAATTTTTACTTGTCCATGTAAGGGAGCTGGACTCTGCTTCGTGCACGTCTCTCTTTCTCCTTCAGACTCAGGTCGAACGTGGTCAACCGAGACATGATCTTCTCGGGATCGTTCTCTCCTCCTCCTGGTTGCACTTTCCCCTTTGGTTTCGGGTCCCAGTCTTTCACATCCACCAACTCCAGTGATTTGTTCAAAATCACATGCTCCTTCTACGCAGGAATTCGTAGGTAGACATTATACATCTCATCTGCTCTTTCTACACGTACAATGCACGAATGGGTTTCCTTCACCTTTCGAGTGACTCTCCCGCTGCCTGATATCAGTTTAGTTTCAACTGGTATGTCATGACTTCCACTCTCTGATTCTTGGATTTGTGAAATCATACTTGCATATTTCTCAATGGAAGGCAACATCCCTTCTTCAATGCAGTCTATATGTAGCAAGGCCAGGACACACGCTTTTTCTGGATTAAAAAAAAAAATTACTTAGAGATACTATCATGGAAAACATATATGAAACTCTCAAAAACAAAGTTAAGGAAACTCTAATTCACACACACATGTTCACTAAAAAGGCTAATAAAGGAACATGGCACTTCTGCAACAGAAAGAAAAGCTGTACTAGAAAGTGTCGAAGGGCTTACGTTTTTTGGAAAGGTCAAAAAGAAGCTGACAGGTCCTAGTGAGCCCCAGATGGAGTAAAAAATCATTCAAACACTCAATGATGACAGCTGTTCCAGACTCAGGCCTGAATGCAGTAAGAAAATCTTGGTACACGAGGCCGTCTCGCGCTTCCCGATTCCTCTGGCACAAGTCATGGACCGCCCCACAACTCAGATGCTTTCCCTGAAGATGCTTGTAGAGGAATTTCCTCTCTGATATACTGGAGAGGACCAGGTGAACCGTGCAGGTCTTATCGAGGGATTTGATTGCAGTAACGAGGATTGGGATACCACTCTGACTCAAGTCATCTGGAAGCCAAAATTCTTTCATCAGAAGTATTTTGCTCATAAAGGAAAGCAGGGAAAGTAGGTTAAAGGGGCAGGCCAAAAATTGATGCACCCCTGATGGCCAGCAGAGATGCAACTCCACAGGATATATATATAGCCTATTTTAATAGTCCACTTGTGCTCTCCCATGTTTCAGATTTTCCTGTTTTTTTTTTTCATGTTTTGTTCTTGGTTGAATGATTCATAGAAGTCACAGAGCATTAACAAAAAGGCTCAGGATGTAGTTATATCAACCAGGCATCATAACCTTTTCAAAAAGTGATGGGTCAGATGCAGTCAATTTGATACCCATCACTTGAATGAATCATTCAGCTTAGAACAAGCTGTATCGAAAATTCAGTAGAATCTGAAACATGGAAAATGAGCACAGCTTTGAGACACAGGAACAAATTGAGTATGAACTTGCAGTTCACCACATCCCTGCTGGCCAGCGGGAGTACATCTGCTCTTGCCACCTTCTACATAGAGGCAAACAAATTTTTCCAGCATAGTGGTAATCAATTTCTTGACCATGCATTCACTCCATATATGGGTCATTCTGTGTCAAATCAACATGGTGCCAAAAGGTGACCTCTGATTTGAATGAAATTTGGCAGGCTTATTTGTACCTATTAGAAAGTGATTTATAGCAATTATTGGGTTCATTTGACTTCTTGTTCTTCAGATATGAGGCCATGAAATTTTGGGCTTAAATGCCTTCCAGTTGCACCCTGAGACAGTCTTCTCTTAATAACATCTGCCCTAATTGTGCTAGAGACCTCTTCTTGGGATTGTTTGAAAGCTCTTTTCATGTCCTTTCCAGAGATATGACTAGTTTTTGGCCAAATGCGAAATGCTAATTTTTAGTGAAGAGGTCATGGTAATGACCTTTGACCTCACATTACAAAAAAACAACCATTGTAGATTTTGAAAAAAATTGGCTGGTTTGCAGGCAAGACATGTGGCTACCTCTGTGTTAAATTTTACTTTGGGCTCTCCAGAAGTTCTAGAATAAAAAGTAAAAGTAGTGATTGCTACAATAATATTCTTGCACTCATTAATGCCTTCCAGTTGAATGCACTACAGAGAACTGGAAAACAATAAAAAGAAATCAATACACTAATCGTAGAACCAAGTCAAAAGATCTTCATGATGGTATATTCTCTATTTCTTGTTCTTGTGAAGACATTTTGTTGCATCCACCATCTCGTGATTGGACAGTTTGTAGGTATGTCCTGTTTCTGTTGAGGGATTCACAAGTGAAAGGACTTCACTATGATGTACTTTTAGTTCATCAGATTTGTGAGGATAGAAAAATGATGGGGTTGGACCATGTGGATGAAGGAAAGAAACAAGAATTTCCTCCTTGTCTTCAAATTTCTCAAGAACACATGCAAGATACCAATGTCCTCCATATTTATGTCACAAAACCCTCTTATGCTTGAATGTGACATCTCCATTGGAGTGTTGAACTTGACATCTGCAAATGTGCTCGACTTTGAAAATTGCTTCCCTCTGATGATAGTAGAAGATAGAGGAATATAACACTGAAGGTTTTGTGTTCCAGGAATTGGCTGCATGCCTGCAAACCATCTTTGGAGCTTCTGCGTTTCTTTTGATCTCTGTCTCAAGGACAAACTGAAATCTTGTAGTTCTCAGATTTTCTATGGCCCACAAAAAGAGATCTTGAGAAGTCTGAATAATCATATGGTCTTTAGAGGCTCACTCTTGCAGCTAATCTTTTGACTATGCCACCCACGCCATCACATGGCCTATGCCATGTGATGTGGCAAAAAAGTGCCACTCTGCTGGAATTCCAAAATCAGCCTCATGAAAGCAGAGGTTGTAGAAATTCTTTTTTATTTTCATACTGGCTAGCTGCACCATCTGAGAAATAGGTAATCTTCTTGATAGGGCCAACTGTTGCCGCCTCTTCATGCAACAGTGAAATGAGATGCTTTTTCTGGAAGGTATAAACTGCAACTGTGTCATGTATAAGAGTATTGGATATGATGATAAAGCAGAAGTGTTGCAGTTCATTTCTATCATTCACAACTTTGTGAGGCATCATAAAATAGCAAACAGAAGGGTGAATCCTAGCCTGATTATTCCTCAGTACTTTTCACCTCTCTGTCCAGAGATCTATCTGTTGACACCAATTGCTTGGAGGTGATGGAGTCCATCATTATGTCATCGAAGTCTTTTTGGAGCTAAGCATGCACATGCAGCACTTGTATGCATGAAATAAAATGAAGTGCTCATTTTTAATTTGGATTCAATTGAAATAACACTTGTTAAATGCATTCCCATAGGTGCCCATAATAATGCTGAATATTCATGTTAATCAATTTCATGCAAATGGCCTGATATCTCCATAAATTAATAAAGCACCCAAGTTAAAATTTGATACAGAGGTATATGTCTTGTCTACCTTTCATCCAATTCTCATCAAAATTCAAGATGGTTGTTTTTGACAATGTGGGGTCAAAGGTCATCAATATGGAGACCTTACTGAATGGTAACTTTTAGCATTTCTCAAAATGTATCAGTACCAATGGAAAGGACTAGAAAAGAATTTTAAAAATGCACCTAAAATGAGGTCTCAAAAGCAGTGTTAGGGCCAGAGTTTCAAGGAGAAGACTATATCAGGGTACGGAATAAGGCATTTAAGCCTCAAATTTTGTGACCTCATACCAATGGAACCAAGGGTCTAATGAACCCAATATTTTGTGTGAGTTAGTTTCTCGCCATTGTTGATAGGTATACCAAATATCCAAATCTAAGGTGGGTCACCTGAAAAATGTCCTCCATGCGTGTTGATTTGACACAGAATGACCCATATATTATATGGGGGTGATCAAAAAGTTGTTTGGCCATTCGAAAGTACAGTTCAGCTATTACTTCATTACTTTGAAGCAATGACACTTGAATATGATTTATGAGTCCCAGCAAACCAAAATCTGTTTCACTCTTTTAGAGACTGTTTTTCTGGATGACCTTGGATGCCATAGCTAATGTTGCTTTCAGTTCATCTGCACTGTCACCTAAATTTCTCAACTCCAGTTTCTCTAGTGACAGCACTCTACTCACATACATTCATATTCTTTCATGAGAAACTGGGTTCTGCATATCAAGGGAAAATGGTCAATTTTTTGGAAAACTGGAGCAGAGAATTTTGCTGAACCTGTACACTCCAGACCAGAGTCCCTTTAACTCAAATGGCTCTGTGCTGGGCTAAAACAATCATGGATTGCAGGACCAAGTGCATCCCGTTCATGGGACATTGCTTCAAGCAATTAAATAACATTGGACCAATAGTACCCATAATGGTTAGTGGTTCAAAAGGTGACAACTTTTTTTGACCACCCTATATGTATCAGTAAGTTCTCAAGAAGCTCATTTACCATACCTTCAAGAAGGGATACACCTTCATGGAGTTCCCCCACCCTCAACAAGCTCAGCATAGTCAATATGTTTGTATTGACAAAGTTACCTTCTCCATCACAATTCACCTCCAAGATAAAAAGAAAATCCTCAAGCACAGCTACAGAAAAAAAAAAGGATGTTCTGTTACTTCTTATTCAGATGCCCAATTATTTCCATCCTTGCAATGTTAGTTCCTGATTGACTGTGTGTCCAACTTGGCAACTAATTTCAATGTCCAGAGTGGGATATCTCATCAGAATTTCTTGTGCTGACAAAAATATATTTACACACAAGTATTTTTTTTTGGAGACATTAACTGCAAGCAGTTACAATGACTTCAAAATCTCAACCTGTCAAAAACTAACTGTTCAACTGCTCCAAGATGAATATTTAACAGGTTCCAGTCTCACACTTGAATCTGAATTTCAGGCATTCAGCACGCCAACTTTTCATTCCAGTACTGCAGATTTTATGCCCAAGGATGCAAATTACCACAAGGGAAAGGAAACCCTTTGTGTGGGCAACTTTTGATGGACTCACACAGAATCGACGTAAAGATCAGGTCCCATATTCGTGAAACCAACCAGAGACTTGCAGTTTGAACCTTTGATGGTTGTAATATCTGAGGGAATGAGAAAAAACACAAAATATGAACGGGAAATTTATTCACGGCACCATGAATCATTGCTCTTTCATTTCCCGCAATCTCCTCACAGCAGAACGCACGGTGACTGCTGCAGTTGTGGCATAAATATATGCTCCTCCGGCCACAGTCCTCTTGCATCTCTTGCAAGCCCAAATACCTACACATGTCCTCTTCATGGCCTCCTGCAAACACAACAAGCCCCAAGAATAAGGATTTGATTAAGTTTATACTAAGTGAGGTTGTTTTAAGCAATTTTTCATTGTTTGAGAGATTTACCTTGCCACAGAAGGTGCACGTATAGGTAGCATGCTGAGTGACCTCCATCTTCTTCACCGTCTTCCTGAGGGAAGCACCGTATCTGGTGCCATACTTCCCAACAATACCGACCTTCTTGGTCCGCTTGGCCTGCAAAGAGGGCAATCATTAGTTACAACTGCACAAGATAGCAAAGAAATAGTTAATTGAATTCAATGGTGCATACTTTGCACTTTGCATGATGGTAAAAATATTATTTTCCCAATGGGCAAAGAAGTTGAGGAACATCCATATGATTTTTCTTTTAGAATTAAACTGTTGGTCATGGGGCCAATAACACAATTATATTAATTTGTACCTGCCTGCTTTCTCATTGCACATAATCAGGTGAGAGTGGCTGTATCTAGATCTACCTTGGGACCAGTAATATCTAATGTTGTACCTGCTACTCTCACCATACCCATAACACTTGCCCCTCTTTTTAGAGCAAGATCTGATGTCCTAATTGCTTAAGACTCAAATATCGATACCAAAAATGTAGGCATGATGCCTGTCCCAAACCTATCCTCCTATTTGATTAATATCTGTACACAAAGCCTTGAGCAGTTTGGAAGCTCAATAGTTGGGAGTTATGCAACATGCCTCACTTCTGCATGAGCTGGAAATAAGAAATCCTTGGGTTACTGTAGATATAGCCAGTAGCTTATTTCTCCTACTTCGATATAGACTTCTGGCAGTTTGTGGTTCCTTTACTGTAGTACAACAGAACATCACTCTCAAGTAGGCCTGGCATGACAGTTGAACTGCATTCAGCCTAAAGATTAAGGCTTCTATAGTTAGGGATGAGATTCTATGACATGGGAATTAAAACATCTTATCCTACTATTAAAATTATTAACATCTTCAGTTTCAAAAATGCAAAATGCAGGACTTCCATGGATGGGTTCCAGCAGAGCACAGAACTTGTCAGAAATGGCTTGATATGCCAACCTCAAATTCTCTAACTATGCAGCAGTGAACAGGATGATGTAGCAATGAAGTACAGTACACCTTGTCCCCCCCCCCTCCCCCCCAGCCGAAAGTGACAATATAGCATGAATATTCCCATACGTAAAGTAGACCAAAGTAAATAAGTGTCCATAATCTATGGGTGAATACTTTTAAATAATCAAAGTGGCTACCATTTGGCGAGGGTGCCTTTAAGATCTAAGTGTTACATGCGTTCTATACCATTACTAGAATGGGGTCTGATCCTGACGCTCCGCTTCGGATGTCCCGCTCCCTTCAGCATATGCGAGAGGCCCGCATATTAATGTGCGATGGGGATTACATGCTTAGGCCTAAATCATCCAGCGAGGGGTTGACATCGAACTCTGTTTGACTCGTCCAACGTTAAGTCTGAGGTCCAAGCCCACCCTTCATATTCAGGCTATGAAGGCAAAGACGGAAAAACTAGCTAACTGCTCATGGGAGAGCGAAAACTGTTGTTGAATATGTAACAGAGCGCATTAAAAAATGGAATAAGTGAGATTTTGGGCCGAAATCACTCCAACATACCATCTTAACCGTCGAATGGAGACCGGAGAGTCAGGACTCGCACGCGCCTCAGACGAGATAGAGAAAGGAAGGGAGCGGCCATGGATGCCAACGTCATGGCACTCTTTCCGATTCGAGACGCGAGATGTCGCGTCGTCACGACACACGCGCCCTGCTGTAGTGGGGAAGGTCGCCGATCCGAGGGAACCGGCTTCTCGCACGCACGAACATCGCAGAGTCATCTTGGTTCTTCTCCGGCTTGTATTTTGCTTCGTGTCCGGACGTCGTTCTTCCACGTTCACCGCCCGTTCAGCGAATCCTGAGCCTTCTAACGTTTCCATTTTGTTTCCAAGGCAGCCTTTGACCAGTCTCTTTTCTTGCCTGAGCCTGCACGGGTAGCTGTTCGGCCTAGACCTTATCCTGTTGGAATCATGGGAGACGTGAGTTTCATTGCCTCGTGTCCTAGCGCAGGAGTTGCTAACCCCTTACATTAGTAGCATGTAGATGGATGAAATGCTTAGTTGGATAGGCCATGTCACAAAAGATTGAGGTAATGGAATTCCTTGGACTTACTCCAGGACAAATATTCTAACTGATGACACTTGATTTGGTCACAAATGAGACCTTTGGTCAACTTCATGATGTATTAATAGGCTGAGTGCAAACATTTTTCTCTGCATTTTGTGGTGCTGAATCATGAACTCCATTTGCAGGATGCAAGTTTTCAGAAGGCAGCTGATGATGTGAAGAACCTCAAGACCAAGCCCAAGGATGCAGAAATGCTGGAGATCTATGGCCTCTTCAAGCAGGCGATGGTTGGTGACATCAACATCAGTGAGATTTTCTACTGTCTCGTGCACAATTCATTCCTTTGGCATCAGGTTTGGGCAACATTTCTTTAAATTCGCCCCCATTCTCTGTGACAGGCCGCCCGTCCATGCTGGACCCAAAAGGCCAAGCCAAGTGGGATGCATGGAACACAAGAAAGGGCATGTCCACAGGAGAGGCAAAGGAAAACTATGTCAAGAAAGCGGGAGAGCTGATAGCAAAATATGGCAAATAGCTTGGCTTTTTATGAAAATATACATGTAACCAGTGTTGCCCTATCACTATGAGCTATGCCTTTTTGTCTACATGAAGAACCAAGTTTTATTTCTTGCTCAAAATTAATCTGTTTTCTGTGATATTCACTTTATGAAGAGACTAAGGTCTAACTTAGTCCTCAAAGCATTCCTCTCAGTAACTTGTACTCTTGACTCCTCACAATATATGTGGTTTATGGTGTATCCATGTTGTCAATCCATGACATAAACTGAGGCTTTGGCCCCTACATATCACAATTGTAATAAAAAGTCTCAAATGCATTATTTGGATACTGTTGCCTTCATTTCATCACAGTGCATGTAGTCTTGCACAAAACGGACGGAATGGGTGCGGCACATCGAAAGCGGAGAGATCACACGGCGGCAATCTCGCTGATGGGCATCTTGACGAGGACAGAGAGGCAGGGGGCAGGCTGTTGCTTGTGGAGCACCAGGACCTGGATGTCGTCTGCGATCCCCAGCTCCGAGATGAAGTCCACCAGACTCTCCGGGTGGACGCTCACGTCAGGGATCAGGATCGGAATCTAAAACAGACGAAGCAAGGACCATGGTGGTCTACGACAGCTCTGAGACTGACCAATTTTTACTTTTAAAATATCAAATGATCATCTAAATGTCTTCATCCAGTAAAATGTACAATATGACATTTGTCAAAATTCATGGAAACTTTTTTCTTTTTATTTTATGATAAAAATAATTTTCTTCAAAGTAGTGATTAATTTTTTTGCTTTTTAGGACTAAAGGTTGGATTAAGAAAATGTGTTGAGAGGAACCACATGTTAAAAATGACCAGGTTATAATTTTGTGTGATTTCATACTTTCCCTGATTTTGAGACATTCAAGTATCTGTTTGTTTCTATCAGACAAGGTATTCTAAAAAGGAACTCCGTTGCTTCTCTGCAGAAAATTGTTATATCTTGGCTATTCTCTGGATTATGACTTTTCTTATTGTGTGACTGTAGGAAGATCCTCTGTTACAGAACTGAAAGTAATGCAAGAAATAAGGGGTTTGGGATGCATGTCCCTTGAAGATGAGTATCATTCTAATGCTGGCATTTTCATACTTGGAATTGATTTGTTGATGCTTCAAGTACATAAATTGAGAATCTCTAGTTATGTTCCACACAAGTATGCATATACAAGGAATGGATGCCAGTAACGGAATTGCAAAAAACACAAGGTTTCTTCTTTTCTTGGTTTCCACTCATCCTGAATATATTGTATTCCAGAGTCTCACGTGACAGCCTGCACGTTTTCCTGCAGGAGCAGCAAGCCCCATCATAAATATCTGAGCCACCTTTGCTGGCCAGATAATCAGGAATAATTGATAAGGCAAGCTACTGATTGTGGGTCTGGAACTCCAGGGTTCATCGCACAAACAACCCCCCGGATCGCAAGCAAACCATGCTTCTTTCATGGCTTTTTCATCCACAAGCTGCCAGCCACCCCCCGAAACCCTCGTGCAGGTTCCACATGAATAAATCCTCCCTCGCCCTGCGAATCGCCCCTAAGTCCTACCTCGCCCCAGCCGGGGAAGGGAACCCACAGCCGGCAGCCCCGAAAGATTGAACCCGGGGACTTCCGCCGCGCTCCTCCTCCTGGCTCCTCTTGGCTCCTCCACTCGAGATAAGACAAGGAGGAGCAAAGTTCATAGCACCCGTGGAACCTTGAACTTTCGCGAACAGAACGCAGCTGATGGCTTTCAAAAGTATTTCCAGTTGCCTAAAAATGCTTTGATTGCTTCAAAGTTTTGCTTTAAATAATGGTACAGCATTTAATGAGCTGCTTTATTTGGATGAATAAACCCTCATCAGATGAATTTTTTTAAATAAAAAAAATTGCATCAATGCGGCTGTAATCAATTTTTGTTACATTGAAATGGAATAATATTTGGCTGGAACATCCCTTATGTACCAATAATCAAGAAAATACAAATATCATTCCAGGAAAAAAAAATTGAATCACCCCTTGCACGCGTCATGGGGTTGTCTGGAACCCAGGGAGAATCCGGCACGCCCCCTCGTGGGGAAGGCCGACCGAAACCGCCTCAACGCCGCATGCACGCTCGCACCCTCGCACCCCAAAAAACCCGCCCATCCCACCCCGACTCGATGGCTCTCCCCACCTCCTCCTCCCGCGCGCGGACGGCCTCCCGACGAGAGAAGCGTCTCCGCCCCTGCCCTAAGAAGAAGGCACGCCCGCTGAAGGCCCTCTGAGCATCGACAGAGGGAGGGACCCACCGAACGTATCAGCAGCCCCCCCAAAGAACTCCCACATCTTAGATCCCGTGACACACTTCAAGGCAGATGCCACCGAGCACACCGTCGAGGCCTCTAAACACCACCCAGACGGACAAAAGCCACACTATCGATCTGCAAGGGAAATTAGTCAGGGAAACCAGCGGAATCTCCCCCTTTAAAACTTGCAGCTTCTCATCTTCGATCGACTTCCGTTCGATAACTGCTTGCGTTCTCCCGACCGATTCACTGCATGCTTCGACTGAAATACTTAACTGTATATTCCCCGGGGGTCTCGATGATTCCGTTTCCCCTCGGAGTAAAGTAAATGATAGAAGCAAAAAAAATTGGACAGCGACAGAGACCCCCCCAGACCTGAATACAGGTGTTGTGCAACTTGTAGAGCACGACGGCCGAGCACTTTAATACAGGTGATTGAAATGGATCGGGAGGAAAGAATTTAAAGTCGTTCCGTGGATGAAGTCGGCCCCATTCGAGTAACAGAGACTCTTTCAGGACACATTGCCAGTCTTCCAGGGAATTTCCTTCTCGACATGAGAGGTCTCCATGAAAAAAGTTCCTTGAGACAAGACGGGTGGTTTAATCGTTCTGGATGGTCTCGAATATCTCCCCAGCATTTGGCACACCTCTGGCCTTTTGCCAGCTGTGTCATTTGAAGCACGGCTAATGTTCCTTCGGGCACATTGAAGAGGACCAAATTGCAATTTAGTTTCCAGTTTCGTATTCTCCCCCGAGTCTTTTTGTCACTCTTGCACGAGATTCCTTGCCGAAATGTGTCTAGATAAGTCTTTTGTGTTTCAGCATTCATGCACATTCATTCCTGAAATGATCTTCTTTCGTTTGTCCCATTTCCATTGCAGCATTTCATCAAAGTGGTAAATTGCTGCAAATGGAAGGAAAAGAGGCAGGATCGGTCAGGTATTGGAGAGGAAATAGGCCAAGACCGCTTTTTAAAAAAAAATGGGAAAAAAATGCATTTTCGGTCGGTGGTCCCATGTCGATTCTGTTACAAATGAACAAATAACTAAGAAAAAAAAAAACCACTTTTCGACTGGCAGCGAGAAGAATTTCAACTTTGTGCTTTCCAAGCTTAAGGCCTCCAGACTTTCTTAATTTTAAGAATTAAAATTCATGAATAAAACCAGAAGTAAGTTTTAAAAAATTATTTAAACTTAATACGAAGGTAGTTCCCCAAAAAGAAGGTAAATTGACTTAAAGTCAGGAATCCCATGGCTATGGTATGACCAATTGTAAATATGAAGCGAAAATGACCTAGCCCGAAATTTCTACAGCTATTTAATGACATTTTGGCTATCAGTTATCAGCCAATTTCCACAGTAGTTCAGGGGTCATTCAATTTGGTGAAGAATGGATGACGTCATACGCAGTTTTAATTAATTGTGCTTGGACTTTCATGCCGATCCAAGTCTTCTTTCTTGCTCAAAATAATCTGATTTCTGTGAGATTCACTTCATGAAGAGACTAAGGTCCAACTTAGTCCTCGAAGCATTCCTCTTGGTAACTTGTACTCTTGTACACTTGACTTTTCACAATATATGTGGTTTACAGTGTGTTTCCATGTTGTCGATCCATGACATGTACTGAGGCTCTGGTCAGTTTCGTCCCTACATATCACATTAATAATGATAATAAAATGTCTCATATGCATTATTTGCACGATGTTGCCTTCATTTCATCACAGTGCATGTAGTCGTACACAAAACGGACGGAATCGGTGCGGCACATCGAAAGCGGTGAGGTCACACGGCGGCAATCTCGCTGATGGGCATCTTGACGAGGACGGAGAGGCAGGGGGCAGGCTGTTGCTTGTGGAGCACCAGGACCTGGATGTCGTCTGCGATCCCCAGCTCCGAGATGAAGTCCACCAGACTCTCCGGGTGGACACTCACGCCAGGGATCAGGATCGGGATCTGAAGAGACGTCGAAAGGACCGTGATGTTCTACGACGGCTCTGAGACTTGTCGATTTTTGCTTTTTGGATAATGAATGCGTTTTGTACCATAAATAATGGTACAGCATTCGCAATTAAAACCGGCAAGCCCATTCGACAGTGACAGAGACAGAGACTCCCAAACCTGAATGCAGGTGTTGTGCAACTTGTAGAGCTTGTCGTCGTAGATGAAAGTGACCACGAGGTCGGTGAGGGGCTGGACCCCGGACGTGTTTGTCAGCTCCACGCGCAACAAGAACGTCGGACCCAGACCGAGCACCTGGCACCGAGGAAAAAAAAATATATATATATATATTCTTTTTAAAACCATTTCAGCACGGGGGAATTTGAACATTTCCCCCTCGGAAACGCACCTGAGTGGTGAGCTTGAGGGGGAGATTCGCGTCGATCGAGATCGGGGTGGCGGCCGAATCCAGGGAGGCCACGTACGTCCTTGCGGCCTTCAACCGCAATCGGTACAGATCCTGCTGAAACACCTGGTGCATTGCTGCAATTAGAGGAAATCCAATAATAATAATAATAATAATACTACCCATGATCGATACTCGTATCGATACTCGATGATCGACTTTGGATTTTAAAAAAAACATCGGCGGATCGCGCCGACACACACTCACCGACGAAATTCTCCCTCTCCCGCATGGTCTGGTCCACGAAGACCTTGGTCTTCTTGGGGATGTTCATCCGGAGGTTCTGCTCGTCGTCCGAAGAGTCCAGTCCTTCCTTCTGCCTGAAGTTGGCCGTCCTTCGAAGGATCTTCACCATCAGGCCTCCGTCTGCTCGGGGGAGGGGGCGGGGAGTCGACGGGGTCAGAAGAGAGACAAACGTGCAACTCGTCAGTCTCGTGCAAACAAATGGCAATGCTCGTAGAATCCAATCACAAGTCGATCGTAATAAACAAGGAAGTCAAAGATGAAGCGTGGCAAAAAGAATGAATTTCTCATCGTTAGGAATTGGAATTTTCTTTTCGGCCACCCGACATCTCAACTCGGGAAAAGGCAGGAAAACGCCGCCGATAGAGAGAGAGAGAGAGAGAGAGAAACTCGACCACCGACTCGAAAGCACGACGACGAGGGTGTTATCCTCTCTCCCAAAGCGTCCGAACCTCATGGCAGCAACCCCATCGGGACAGCGAAAGGAATCGACCATCTCCTTCTCTCGAAACACCTTCACCGCCCCGCTCGCCAGCCCCACCGCCCACAGCGTGAGCCCCAGGTGCGAGACCTCCAGCAGCTCCGAGCACAGGACGGTCCCCCCGACCGCCGCGTCCCACTCCAGCCTCCCCTGCGTCGTGTACGAACGCAGCATCCCGTCTGAGCCGGCCACCGCGATCGTCTTCCCGAACAGATGCATCGAGACCGGCAGCGCCGGCAGGAAGAGGACCTGCCTCCCTTCCTCGCTTCCCCGGCGGACGTCGTAGATCCCCCCTCCCCTCGTGGACACCAGGACGCGGAAGTCCACGTCGTACAGACCCGACACGGCCAGGTGCACGGGGATGTCTCCCACCGCCACCTACACGACCGGTATAGCATTCCAATCGACATGCCGTATTCTTTCAAGTATCGGTCCGGTATTTTATAGAAACGAAAAGACGGGACCTGCGAATTGGAGTCGAACGTAATAAGGACCGTTGCATAAGTCGTTAAGGTTACCTTATTCTTTTAAGGGTAAACGTTAACTTATTCATCAGAGTAATGGAAAGTCTCGCTTTGTTTCTCTACATAACTGTTTTTTTTTTTTGTTTTTGTTTTGTTACATGAGCTGGATTTCCTTATTAGAATTATTTGAACAAAATTCTAAATTAATAATTATTTTTTCATTACATCATCATTAAATTCAAGAGGATAAAGTTTAATTTTTTTGCTCAAAATCTAACTTCATAATTAAGAATTCTTTGACTTGTCACACTTCATCGACTGATGAGGGTTGCTTCATGAATGCTCAAAAAATCCATTAAAAAAGCAAGATGTGGTTCTGGAAAAGAATATCTGGCATCCACTCGGATGCATTCTTAATGAGGAATGTAATATAATGCAAGGAAAAAAATCATTTCCATTCCAAACTAATTAGGTGAGACGAATGAAATAAGAATACTACATTCTGCACTGACTATTGTAGTCATTGTTTTTTTTTTTGCCAGCTAGACAATGAGATAAATTCTTAAAATGGCGAAAACCAAATCCCCTATTTCAAGAATACTTTCCTCCTGCTGACACTTGCCATTCCTGATATTGCTGACACTCGATATCGCGATATCGACTCCATCTCCGCATTTACCGAATCACCCAGAGGGAAAAGGGCCACAATGAATACTAAATTCTGTGCTTCCACTTGGAGATGGAATCGAAGGCCTGATAACCGCTGCCCACATCCAGGTAACTACTTCCTCTAATGAAGGCAATTCGGTAATAAAGGAAGGAGGCAGGATCGGTCAGGTTTTGGAGAGGAACTAGGTCAAAACCTATTTAAAAAAAAAAAGTGGGAAAAAATATGCATTTTCAGTCGGTGGTCCAAAATAATCTGATTTCTGTGAGATTCACTTCATGAAGAGACTAAGGTCCAACTTATTCCTCAAAGCATTCCTCTTGGTAACTTGTACGCTTGTACACTTGACTTTTCACAATATATGTGGTTTACGGTGTATCCATGTTGTCGATCCATGACATGTACTGAGGCTCTGGTCAGTTTCGTCCCTACATATCACATTAATAATAAAAATAAAATGTCTGATATGCATTATTTGCATGATGTTGCCTTCATTTCATCACAGTGCATGTAGTTGTACACAAAACGGACGGAATCGGTGCGGCACGTCGAAAGCGGTGAGGTCACACGGCGGCAATCTCGCTGATGGGCATCTTGACGAGGACGGAGAGGCAGGGGGCAGGCTGTTGCTTGTGGAGCACCAGGACCTGGATGTCGTCTGCGATCCCCAGCTCCGAGATGAAGTCCACCAGACTCTCCGGGTGGACACTCACGCCAGGGATCAGGATCGGGATCTGAAGAGACGTCGAAAGGACCGTGATGTTCTACGACGGCTCTGAGACTTGTCGATTTTTGCTTTTTGGATAATGAATGCGTTTTGTACCATAAATAATGGTACAGCATTCGCAATTAAAACCGGCAAGCCCATTCGACAGTGACAGAGACAGAGACCCCCAAACCTGAATGCAGGTGTTGTGCAACTTGTAGAGCTTGTCGTCGTAGATGAAAGTGACCACGAGGTCGGTGAGGGGCTGGACCCCGGACGTGTTTGTCAGCTCCACGCGCAACAAGAACGTCGGACCCAGACCGAGCACCTGGCACCGAGGAAAAAAAAATATATATATATATATTCTTTTTAAAACCATTTCAGCACGGGGGAATTTGAACATTTCCCCCTCGGAAACGCACCTGAGTGGTGAGCTTGAGGGGGAGATTCGCGTCGATCGAGATCGGGGTGGCGGCCGAATCCAGGGAGGCCACGTACGTCCTTGCGGCCTTCAACCGCAATCGGTACAGATCCTGCTGAAACACCTGGTGCATTGCTGCAATTAGAGGAAATCCAATAATAATAATAATAATAATAC